CATCTTGGGTGCTTTACAGAAATGGCCCCAGGACTTGTTCTTGCGTGCAATCAGCAGCTAAAATTAGGTGATTACCAAAATCAGGATGTTTATATCCCAGTCATTTTAAGCCACAATCTGTGTGCTATTTTCAGTGATTAAAACAAACTGATTGCATGGTTTTTCTCCAAAAAAACACTTGATGTGCTCCCCATGTGTTTCCGAACAGCTTTGGGCTGACCTCGAACTACATAGTGTTTGTTGAAACACCCGTGAAGATCAACCTCCTCAAGTTCCTCTCCTCCTGGAGCCTCTGGGGAGCCAACTACATGGACTGCTTCGAGTCCAATGAAACCATGGGGGTAAGCAGCAGGTGGTACTAAACTGGGCTCAACTGGGAGGTCAGCCCTGGACCGGGAGACCCATCATATTGGTTTCTCCTACATTTCTCTGAGCCTACACCAAGCAGCTGCTTGCTTTTCAGGTCTGGCTTCATGTGGCCGAGAAGAAGAAAGGCAGGCTCCTCAACATCAAATACCGCACCTCGGCCTTCAACCTTTTCCACCACATTAACACCTATGAAGATAATGGGTTTCTCATTGTTGACCTCTGCACCTGGAAGGGGTGAGTCTTGCCATGCCGGGCTGGTGGGGTTGGAAGGGACCTCTGGAGATCATCTGCTCCAACCCCCTGCCAGAGCAGGGTCACCCAGGGCAGGTTGGAGACGGGTTTGGAATGTCTCCAGAGGAGACTCCACACCCTCTCTGGGCAGTCCGTTCCAGGGCTCTGCCACCCTCACAGGAAAGAAGTTCCTCCTCATGTTGAGATGGAATTTCTTGTGTTCCAGCTTGTGCCCGTTGCCCTTTGTCCTGTCCCTGGGCACCACTGAGAAGAGTCTGGCCCCATCCTCTTGCCACCCACCCTTTAGCTATTGCTCAGCATCCATGAGATCCCCTCTCAGTCTGCTTTTCTCCAGCTGAACAGACCCAAGTCCCTCAGCCTCTCCTCATCAGAGAGATGTTCTGGTCCCCTCATCATCTTTGTAGCCCTCTGCTGGACCCTCTCCAGCAGTTCCCTGTCCTTCTGGAAATGGGGAGCCCAGAACTGGTCCCAGTGCTCCAGATGGGGCCTCCCCAGGGCAGACCAGAGGGGCAGGATGGCCTCCTGGGCCAGGACTTGTCTTACTCCATTGAATTTTGGTGCTGGAGGTGCTGGAGCGGGTCCAGAGAAGGGCGACAAAGATGGTGAGGGGTCTGGAGCACAAGTCTGGTGAGGAGAGGCTGAGGGAGCTGGGGGTGTTCAGCCTGGAGAAGAGGAGGCTGAGGGGAGACCTTATTGCTCTCTCCAACTCCCTGAAAGGAGGGTGTAGCCAGGGGGGGTCGGTCTCTTCTCCCAAGTCCCAGGCGACAGGACGAGAGGAAATGGCCTCAAGTTACACCAGGGGAGGTTCAGGCTGGATATTAGGAAAAATTTTTTCCCTGAAAGGGTTATCAGACATTGGAATGGGCTGCCCAGGGAGGTGGTTGAGGCCCCATCCCTGGAGGTGTTCAAAAGACGGGTTGATGTAGTGCTGGGAGGTATGGTTTAGTGATGATGCTCCTTGTTTGTTGTGTGGGTGTCTATTTTTGTCAGTTAGGTTGACGGTTGGACAAGATGATCTTTAAGGTCCCTTCCAACCTAGAAGATTCTGTGATTCTGTGAAAAACCAGCTGTATTTGAATCCCCTGAGATGCAAATGACATCTCATTTTCCATCTGTGACCCTGTTTTTGCGCAGGTTTGAGTTTGTTTACAATTACCTCTACTTGGCCAACCTGCGAGCCAACTGGGACGAGGTGAAGCGTCAGGCAGAGAAGGCCCCGCAGCCCGAAGCCCGCAGATACGTCCTGCCCCTCAACATCGACAAGGTACCACCATGTCCCAGTGTCCCCACCGCTGCCCATGGGGCTGAGACACCGCTCTCACCCCGCTCCTTACGGCCGAGCGGCGCTGGTGCTCTGCCTGGCCCCTTTAGTGCAAATTAAACATTTTAATGAAGGAGGGAACTTTAAGTATGGGTCTACAGAGAAACTTTTAATTTTCTTTAGCTGATCAGTGTTATTCCGTTGTATTTCCCCTACATTGCTGTTCAAATCAGAGATTGTGGGGCAGCAGTTAATTCGGAGGGTGCTGCTGCCTGGGGTGGAGAAAGCAGCCTTAAATCATGGAATCACAGCACCCATGTCCCAGTGTCCCCCCTGCTCCCCGTGGGGCTGAGACACCGCTCTCACCCCACTCCTTACGGCCGAGCGGCGCTGGTGCTCTGCCTGGCCCCTTTAGTGCAAATTAAACATTTTAATGAAGGAGGGAACTTTAAGTATGGGTCTACAGAGAAACTTTTAATTTTCTTTAGCTGATCAGTGTTATTCCGTTGTATTTCCCCTACATTGCTGTTCAAATCAGAGATTGTGGGGCAGCAGTTAATTCGGAGGGTGCTGCTGCCTGGGGTGGAGAAAGCAGCCTTAAATCATGGAATCACAGCATGGTTTGGGTGGCAGCTCACGGCGTGAGGTCCATCAGGTGGCCACCCTTGACCAGAGCTCGCTGGCATATCCATACACTCTTTGGGTATTTTTCATTCATTTTCATGGGTGTTTTCCTTTGTCCCAGGCCGACACGGGCAAGAACTTGGTGACGCTGCCCTACACCACAGCCACGGCCACCCTGCGCAGCGATGAGACCATCTGGCTGGAGCCAGAAGTTATTTTCTCAGGGCCACGCCACGGTAGGACGACAGCCACCCCCCAAAAACAGAGCCAGCAGCAACGCCGGCACCCCCTGCGCCCCCCCTCCCCCTCAGCCTCACTAGATATATTTATTTTTTATTGTAGCCTTTGAATTTCCACAGATCAATTACAAGAAATATTGCGGGAAGCCTTACACCTACACCTACGGGCTGGGGCTGAATCACTTCGTCCCAGACAGGGTAAATATCAACGAAACCCCTTTTCCACGAGCTTTAAGGACAAGAAAAGGTTGTTTCTGACAAGCAGTTTTTTGTTGTTTTTCCCTCTTTAGCTTTGCAAGCTGAACGTTAAAACCAAGGAGACCTGGGTGTGGCAAGAGCCGGATTCGTACCCATCGGAGCCCATCTTCGTTTCCCACCCGGATGCCCTGGAGGAAGATGATGGTAATAATGATTTTATTTTGGTTGAGGGCACAGGGATTTGAAAAGCTCGTGCCCGCTGGCCCCAGGGGCTGCCTGCAAGGACGTGCCAGGGGTGAGCACGAGCAGAAAAGTGGGAGAATTAAGATGGAATGAGAAAAACAGGAGGAAAAAGCCCCTCTGGGTTTAGATGAGCTCTTGTCCTCATTTCCTAACCTTTTTCCATCAGGAATGGCAATATTTCAAGAATTTCAGGTGGCAAAACTTTGTAAACTTCAAACTTCTCTTAATCCAAGTGTGTTTTCTGCTCCTAAACCCATCCTCCTCAGGCAGGAGCGGAGTGAATTTGGGCTTTGTCACTCGAGGACACGTAGTTGTACCCGTGTCACACACTGTATGTGGTGTCTTCACATACCCACAGCCCCAAACCTGCTGCAGATGGTGCAGTGCTTATTCCCTGAATTCCCCATCTCCAAACAGGATTTCCTGAAACTGGGAGAAGTCTTGGCTCTGCCCAGTTGAAGAGCCAACTCTCACTGGTTTTGACAGAACCAAATTCCGTCTTATCCCTTCCCAGCTCTTGTGCAGGGGCTCGAGTCCCCCTGGCATGGTTCTAAGCTTTGTTTTTAAAAGCTTTCCAGAACAGAAGTGCATTTTATGAGCATTTCAGCAATATACTTAACTCTCTTCTATCTTGTGGCATTAAACCTCAGAAGCCGAGTTATAAAGTAATTCATAATGTTGACAAAATGAATGGACAAAATGTGATGTCTGTGCCAGTAAGTGATGTTTGTCATCAGCACCACAACAGCTTTTCACAGTTTCTATTCAGAATGAAAACACATTTCAGGTTTAAACAGAAAGGAAGGAATTTTTCACTGAAAGAGTGGTCAGACAGTGGAACAGGCTGCCCAGGGAGGTGGTGGAGTCCCCATCCCTGGATGTGTTTAAGGGACGTTTAGATGCAGTGCTAAGGGACATGGTGTAGGGGAGGACTTTGTAGAGTAGGGGAGATGGTTGGACTCGATGATCCCAAGGGTCTCTTCCAACCTCAATAATTCTATGATTCTATGAAACTCTGTATGTGCCCCAGCACCCCAGGCTGGGATAATGGCAGCAAGAACCCAAAATAGTAGTAGAAATAAATCAATAACCTCAGTCTAGAGTAACAATGGGATTTCCTGGTGCCCTGTGTGTGAGTGGCCACCTCGGGGCTGGGTCAGCAGGTGCCCCCCCAGGACAGGCTGGTTGTTTGTGTCCCTGCCAGGGGTTGTGCTGAGCATCGTGATCAGCCCGGGCGCGGGGCCGAAGCCCGCCTACCTCCTCATCCTCAACGCCAAGGACATGAGCGAGGTGGCCAGGGCAGAAGTGGAGGTCAACATCCCCGTCACCTTCCACGGCCTCTTCAAAAGAGCCTGACCACTGCCTGCAACGTCGCCTCGGGCTCCTGCCAGCTCCAAAAAGGTGCACGTTCCATCCACGAGCGCTCAAATGACCTAAATTCCTTCAACGTCCCTTTTTGTTTGCACGGCTCCTTAATTGAGATTGAGCAGTTCAGTTCTGTCGATGACTCTTCAAAATACTTAACCAGGTATTTTTCAGATGCACCCTTTGGCATCATTTCTGGACGTACAGTTGAAACACCACAAGTTTGTTGTTTTTACAAAATTAAACTTTGTGGCTGCGGCAGAGTTAAAGATAGATGAAATGGGAGAGTGTGAACTCGTTACCTGTACACAGGGTAACACGACACAGAGTCTCTCCGCTCTTTTGTCTTTCCCATTTCTCTCCTCAAAAAAGTGCAGTTTCTTGACTTCTGGATTTCATACTAAAACATGAATATGAAAAAAATCAAGGAATTGTTCCAGCTTGGGATGAATTTGCTTCCTCAGAGCGTTCTGGGCTCTCAGCTTAATCCTTCCTCTTCACAAAATGCATTTTCCACTACTGTGGCAGGAGGTTATGGGTCAAAATACAAACTTAACTGCTAATAGACATAAAATCCAGGATTCTCATTTGTCTGCAATGGTTTAGCATTTTTTATTAATGGTATCAAAGAATTAGAAAATCATTTACATTAAAGATCTCTAAAACAGGGTGCTAGTTCAAAAAGGCTGATGATTTGAGGCTGGGGCAGTCACATTCTGATGACGGGATGCGGACACGGAGACACCACCTGGGACTTGTGCTGGGCTGTGATCTCCAAGCACTGTGCAATCACCTAATTAAACACAAAACCACATATAAATATAAGCAACGGGCCTCTGAAGCAAAAAACAAGTAAAACTTATTAGTTCTGCACTCATTCTGTAATGCACTTGTTCTTACTTCTTGCAAAATAGTGAAGTTTAAAATGAGGAGCTGTTGACCATAGCGTCAGGGGAAAGAGAGGTCAGTGTTAAGAACCACTGGGGCAGGGGAAACGTCAAGGAAAAAACCTCCTCAGGCCCCCAGAGTTTATGCCAGAGACCACTAAAGTGTTTTAAAGTCACTGTGGTGGCAAGAGAACTACTTTTGGAACACTGGAACTCCAGTTTTAGTGTAGAACTCCAATGAAAATTCATTTCTATTATTACACAGCCACGCTCCTCCTGTTCCCAATCACATCACAAATTAGCAGAACATCCTGCTCTTCCGCATCCATCTTTATCTAAGAAGGCATCTTTCCTGGTGTCTTGTAACACCAGGGACTGTTGGTCTTTAAAAACAAGATAATTCTCCATTATGATTTTGTTAAATATGCACCATGTGATAAAAGTTAATAGTCTCCTTTGCCAGAACCTTCTGTGTGTCTGGTTGGAAATCAGGAGTCACGGTGAGCGTTCTCCTGATTCCACTGTGCCTCTCCCACCGCTGCTGGAGCACATGTTGGCTTTTAAAGCCTCTTAAAAAAGCAGCACGTTGTGGCTCTGAAGGAGCACGTGCTGTCGGTTCCGACACAGCCAAACGTTAATTCCATCTATTAGCAAGAACTGGGATAAAGTCGCAGAACAATATTGTAAAAAAACCATCTAAACAGGCAAACACGAGTTGTGATGCGCTGGTGAAAATTACCCCAGGTTACCCCAGTGATTCATTTCAACCTATTTTCTTTCCACGTGTAGTTCCCAGAGAAAGGCAGTCTCAGGACTTAGAAAATACTTCTTGGCGCTCTCCTATTATCAAAGTTCCTGTAAACTCCACAGAAAATATTTCCCATCTCCGTACTACCATAAATATGTTCTGTATTTAGGAGGATTAATGGATAGCAGGCTCTATTTGTGATCTTTAAGTAAACAAGCCTTAGAAGTGCAAAGAACGTTTGAAGTATTGCTAATAAACAATATAACGAGGAAAAATAAAAGAACAAAGGCGGCGGCTTTCAGAAAGAATCTAAGCCTGAACTTTAGAAAGTGAAGATGGGGTGATTATGCAAGACCAAAAAAGAAAGGATTTGGACAGAGAATCAGTTAAGAGGTTCAGTGAGGAAATGCTGTAGTCAAATAAGCAGGATTCAAGAGGAACTTTTTGGACAGACTAATGGGGAAGAGAAAAGATGAGAATTCCAAGGATAAATGCCCCAGAAACTGGAGCAAGAAGTGCAAGACCCAGGCTCTGGGAATCAGCGTGGCCCTGACCTTGAGCGAGTCATGTTCTTGTGCATTCACCCCAAGATCCTTCTGAGATCCGAGAATATTTAAGGAAAAAAAATCCCTACCTTTCTAGTATTTTGAGGTAGAATCACACCATCATCCCAGAGCCTGGCAGAGGAGTAAAACGCGCTGCTTTCTTCCTCCAGCCTGGAGAAGAGAGAGGATTAAACATGCTTGAAAGCACAACAATGTAATAAAAACCATCCGGCTTTTAGATCAATCATCATAGATGAAAAAGGCATGTACTTCAATCTCAAGTGAATGTGCAGTTCTACTGTTAAAATTAATTAGAATCCAGCAATTAATGCCTAACAGATGTAATCATTCTGCAGCACAGACAATCCTCCACATTCCAAATAGCTTGATTTTGGGTTGTACCGTTTTGGGGTTGGGTTTGGTTTGAAATCAAACATTGTTTGGGATGCACTGATCTGCAAGATGACTAAAAATAGGTAATTTAACCAATTAAATCCCAGTGTAACTGCAAGGGCTTATGTTTAAGGGCCTTACTTTTCTTTCAGCTGTTTTAGCTCTGACTCGTCTCCTGCAGAGTCACTGTCCTCGGCTCCTGGGGCTGCGGAGAAATGTCTTGAATCCACAAGAGCAACCCTGGCGTTAGGCCACAGGAACAGAAAGTTTGGACTGAAGGACCTCCCACACTACCAAAAAAAAATAAATACACAGCACAAACTCACTGAAATTAATCACAAAAAAGACAGCTGTAGGACGACACGATCAAGTTCAAGGCAGAATGTAATTGAGTTTAATTTGTAAAGCGCTAAGGATACAGCTCCTGTCTCAGTACAGACACCCTGCGGGAGCAACCTCCAACCCCCAAGGCCTTCAATATGGCTATTTTATTATTTCGTTTTTCCTCCAAGCACTTAAATGTTTAATTCTGGGCAAACAAGGAGTCCTACTCCACTTGGCAGCAGCGCCAACAGCACAAAGAGTAGCACAACTAAAGGAGACGTGCTCCTCGATCGCTGGAAACCAACAGAGGAAAAAGGCAGGATGGGCTCCAAGTAGGGACATTTTCAGATAATCTGCTTTTTTTAGAACTGGCTCTAGGTCCTTAGATGCAGCCCAAATTTTCTGTGATGTAAAAGTAGTTAACACTGAGTTCAACGTCTATGACAACAACTGACTTTTCAAAATGAAGGGCTATGAAATCTTGGCAAAGCGTAAAAAGTCTATTACCAAACCCATTAATGCTTATTCTACTTGTTCTATACCATTTGTGCTACCCATACTATAACATATACTGAGTTCAACATCTATGACAACAACTGACTGTTTTCAAAATGAAGGGCTGTGAAATCTTGGCAAAGCGTAAAATGTCTATTACCAGACACATTAATGCTTATTCTACTTGTCCCATACCATTTGTGCTACCCATACTATAACACAACATTTGCACTCCCCCTACCATAACGTAACTTTCGGTCCCGTAGCAGCCCCCGATGACAATGGTTATTTTGGGAACAGGTGCACAAGCCACAGCAGCCATCATGGAGGCCTGGGCTTTTAATCTGTTGGAGTGAGCCTCTGCCTGAAATAAAAACAAAAGATTTTTTAGATCCTTTCAGTTTATCTTCTAGATTCCCTCCGCTCCCGCCACGCTTGTATTTCTAAAAGTTATTTCTTTACAGTTCTGTATGATCATTTCCTCCACAACACTAAGACAGCAGCATTAGCTGCCATAGTCCATTATGCACTGATTTTACTATGAAAATCAGCAAAACAGTTATAACCATGGTGCAAAAACCAGTAATACTGAGCAACCCTCGCTCTCCCAGCCATTAGCAAATAAATTGCAAGTTTTACAGCTTGCGTGCCAGCTGGGCAGTACCATTTTAGCTAAGGATAAAGGCCTGCTTAAAATTAGAATCAAATGAGAACGCTAATGGGAAGATTTAAGAATGGAGTAATTACGAAGTTTCTCAGTTTTAAAAAAATATTTTCCTAACAATTAATAATTTTCAAAATGTAATCTTAAACAAAACAAAACAAAGGGCAGGACCTGAACGAAGCCTGTTGGCAGTCCTGAGTAACATGCTCTGACAAGCTCTAGGCAATCCTGCTCCAGCAGGGGAGTTGGACTAGATGATCTCTATGGTCCCTTCCAACGCTAAAAATTCAGTGAAATTCAGTGAAATGGAGTGAAGTGAAACTACCTGGGAGAGGCTGGCGGGCTGTGGCGCCTGCGGAGCGGTGTTCTGGAGGAAGAGGATGGGGACACCACGCTGGCCACAGAGCTGCACAAAATGGCTGCCCTTGAGAGCGGCGTCGTGGGACAGCTCCCCGTTGCTGGCCACCACCCCCACCAAGCACCTGCAACACAGACAACCTGAGCCTTTTCAACTTCCCAACCCCAGGAATTTGAATCAAACCGTAGCTCGGAATGTCCTGAAGGATGGAAACAACATCCGTGAATTCAGAACGATGCTGTTATGGGTGTGGTTTCAGTCAAGGAGCCTCATGTACCCTCCAAACGAGTCTTACAGCTCTCCTGATGGGTAAAGCTTGGAAGAATTAACACAGATTAAATACCCAGAGGATGGGTAAAGCTTTAACTTTAATATATATATAAAATACATATAAATCTGACCTGTAAACCTGAGTTTACACTGCAAGAAAACACACAAGGTGCCAGGACTCCAGGTTCTCTCTAATTCCTGTAACATACAACGTACCAGTCAATCTGAAAAATGTATACTTTCAACCTAAAGAGGCTCAAAAACATATATTTTACTACCTTTTTTTTTTTCCTAATTTGATTTGACTGGAACATTGTATGCTTCATCAATGAGTTAATAATGCAGTCTGATCTGAACTCTGCAAGGTTTTATTATAAGGGTATTATCCCATCTCCATCCCACGGGAGAAGGATGATGGATTTCAACTCCGGTTGGGAAGGAACACTTTCGAAGATGCTGTTTCTTATTTCTTAAGGAATCTGCTGAGACTTCACTGTTCCAGCTGCCTGGGCAAACAAATCACTTCAAAGTCATTAAAGCCATTTGTAATCACTCTCTGCTGCTGTTGACCTGAGACATGATGAATTTGGAGCTCAGAGACAGAACACTGGCCTTTCTAGAAGTATTTTATTATCAATTCCCAATGGATTCAGAACTTCATAAACATTGTTACTGGAAAAACATCAAACCTGATGATATGAAAGCTACTGAGACAAATACATCCAACACATCCTGATAGTGAAATCAAGCCTTACCCTTCCACGTGGCCAAATCCTGTCACTAACGTTGTTCCATAATTAGCCTTGAATTCCTGGAATCTGCTTCCATCCATCAGACGGCTCAGAATCTGCAAAGAAATATATACATATATATACACACACACACAAGTATATTTTTAGTTTTAACTACAGAAACATAAGTGAAAATAGGATTAATTAAAATAGTAAGAAGACCTGCAAAAAATAAACCTAAATGAGCAGAGAAGCCCTTCAATGTCTTACACTCTGCGTCTGTCCCAACTTCCATCAAGTTTAATTTGAGCTTTGCTGCTTTTTTCCTCAGTGTTTTCGTTAGGCATTTAAGTTACAAAACAGAGTCTTGGCTTTTTGGGGGAAAAAAAAGGCAGGGGGAAGGGAAAACAGACCAGGAAAGGGAAGGCACATTCTCAAGGCAGCCAACATGGTATGAGACATGAGAGCATCTCAGAGGGTGCCTGGAAACAGATGGGGTTCAGCTGCCGATAATCGATCTGTAATTGTAATGATCTCATCTCCAGCAGGTTTTCAGCTTAAATATTTTCTGTAATTCTACAGGATTGTTGCCGTTCTGCTTTATGGCAGACTCAAGACAGTTTGGCAAAGGATTAGGTAATAATACGGAGTATCTCAGGTGCTTCGGGATTCTCCAAGAGGCCTGCTGATGATTAATCTGGAGCTACGAGGTGGAGAAGGGACAAAGGAACAGGGTGAGTGTCACCTACCAGTTTCACAGGGAGGGTACACCTATAGTCCCGTGGTGCCAGCCCCAGGAGCTCATCAGGACTGTAGAGAGGGCTGTCATGCTCCATGGCCTCCTCGGGCAGCGGGCGGTAATTGAGCGTGGAGATGACGTTCCGGATGCACTCGTAGGCTTCCTCCTCCGAGGAGGCAAAGTGGTCACTGCAGCCACTGACTCTAGGAGGGACAGCAACGTTAATTAGCACGGAATTAATAGAATCTGAAGTCTGATAGAAAATCCAAATTAAAGGGAAAATCTTTAGTTTTTCTCCAAACTCCCTGAAAATAGTGTGTGATTTTGTTCTTGTACGAATGAGCTGAAAGCACTAAGTCAGTGGGATTTCTGTGCCATCCACAAACCCAATGCACAGTAAGGACTTCTCTCCTGGGACATTTGTGTTTGCCTGTATTAAAGGAAGACCTTCAAATTATTTTCATTATGATGTTGTTGCAAATAATGTAATAAGGGGAAAACAAACTTCAAAAATTATGTCAAAATAAGCACTTCCAGCCCGGATATAAAGAATGTAATTTACTGCATGGACCACAGTTGGCTGCCTCTCACACCGGTATTTGGTTTTGTGAGAAAGGCTCTGTACTTTGTTGCAAATAATGTAATAAGGGGAAAACAAACTTCAAAAATTATGTCAAAATAAGCACTTCCAGCCCGGATATAAAGAATGTAATTTACTGCATGGACCACAGTTGGCTGCCTCTCACACCGGTATTTGGTTTTGTGAGAAAGGCTCTGTACTTATGTGAGATTTCCATCAGAGCGTGTGTGTGTACATATAGTATATATATTTATATGTATGTATTTCAGCACACGAAGGACATGGAGCTGTTGGATGGGTCCAGATGTGTGTGTGTACTTATAGTATATATATCTATATGTATGTATTTCAGCACACAAAGGACATGGAGCTGTTGGATAGGTCCAGAGGAGGCCCCGGAGATGCCGGGAGGGCTGGAGCCCCTCTGCTGGGAGGGGGGGCTGAGAGAGTTGGGGGGGTTCAGCCTGGAGAAGAGAAGGCTCCGGGGAGACCTTCCAGCCCCTTCCAGTCCCTCAAGAAGGGGGGCTCCAGGAGAGCTGGGGAGGGACTCTGGATGAGGGAGGGGAGCCCTAGGAGGAGGGGGAAGGGTTGGACCCTGCAAGAGGGGAGATGGAGCTGAGATGTGGGGAAGAACTTGTTTGGTGGGAGGGTGGTGAGAGCCTGGCCCAGGTTGGCCAGAGAAGCTGTGGCTGCCCCATCCCTGGAGGGGTTCAAGGTCAGGTTGGAGGGGGCTTGGAGCAACCTGGTGTGGTGGGAGGTGTCCCTGCCCAGGGCAGGGGGTGGCACTGGGGGGGCTTTAAGGTTCTTTCCAACCCAAACCATCTTGTGATTCTATGATTCTAGGAACACAAAGTTCCTGTGGCCAGCAGTAAAGCTGAAATGACAATGCCACGTGACTTTTTTCATTTCCAAGAGTTCTATCTGGCCCCACAATACTCCCACCTATGCAACTGAATACCATCATCCTTTCATAATAATTCATTTATCACTTCTACTGGGTTTTTTTCATTACATGTTTTTCAGTCCTGAGGACCATATTGTATCACGTCACTGGAGTAGCTTCAATCACATTAATTTAAGATAAAATGATAGTTTCTTTAAAGCTAAGTATGCTGAATCCTCTGCTACTTCTGCGAATTATTTAACGTACTGAGAGTGAAGTTTGGCTCCTCCTAGATCCTCAGGAGAGACGTCTTCTCCCGTGGCAGCTTTGACCAGGGGTGGGCCAGCAAGGAACAAGGTACCGATTTTATCTATGATCACCGCTTCCTCGGCCATGGTTGGCACGTAGGCACCTCCGGCCACGCAGGAGCCACACACCACTGCCACCTGAGGGACACAGCAACCACAACAAACCCAGATGCTGGAGAGGGGAGAACGGAAAACCAAAAACCCCTTCCATTTCAGAAACCTTCAAGAGACTAAATCACAGCTTGGGGAACGATGAACTGTCCCAGTAGGAACAACAATGCTGGTTTTGAGAGAGTTCAACGTTTACTCTGAAATAACCCAGGGATTTGATGCTTTTCCATCACCATCAGTCCATAAACGCTCAGAAAATCCTTAAGGTTAAAGTATTCTGTTATGTGAGGTGCTACCTGAATCTCCTTTCACCACAAACAGAAAGAGATGGGCTTTGGGAATTTTTTTTTTTCATGTTTGAGAGTTGTTCCTGGAATTTTTATTAGAGCAAACTGTTTTTCCAGAACTCTCCTGATGACATCTACTCCACTTACTTGTACTCCAAGCGACACTGTACCTGGGGGATCCTCATGGCAGACATTATTGCTTCATTGTAGAAAACCCTGCCGCCATGCAGCTTGTCAGGAAACAGCTCTGACTGAGGTTGTGGAGAAAACACAGAAGGAGTTTCAATATGAACTACAAAAGCCAAGGCTTCCCCTTCGTCCCATTCCCTCCCAAATGCATTGTACCCGCTCTGGGAAGGTCACCACTAAATCACTCCTGATTTCCTATACAGCTCTGGCTGTGAAATTCCACACCACCACCCCTGTGTTTTGAAAACAGAGGTAAGTTTCCTAACTTTCTGTGAAACTAATTTACACAAAGTGAGACTGTAAACAGAGAATCACAGAATTGCCTGGGATGGAAGGGACCTTTCAGAAGCTCATGCTCATCCTTTATTTGTGAAATGACTTCAGCACAGTTTCCCTTTTTACTTAGTTTTTGTAATTCCTTAAGTCAGGTAAAAGCTTTTCTTTACATTTGCATTTCAGTCTGCAAAAAGAACTGCTACAGTCTCTGCGATAATATGGCCCCTGGAAAGTAACCTGTAAAATTCTCCTTTTACAGTAAGAATTCAAAAAACTAACATTTTAAAGGCCTTGGAGGTTACTGCGTTACTATCACAAACGTTACCATAAAATACAGAGTAATTTTATAGATTCTGAAGTTTAAAACAGAAACCTCAAATGCTGTACTAATTTATTAAAGACACCAAAGCATTTCAGCACGCTGAGGGTCACCCGTGCTTGGTCAGCACTTTGTCCCCCCACTGAAATTCAAGTTTCTAAACTTTGATTAGGGACAAGATTAGCCAAAGCCATCAGCACTGTTATAAATCATCTTCCAATCATTGCCTGGACTCCCATTTGGGGACAAAACTCTAACAGACAACAAAAGTCAGCCAGCCAGAAAAACTAAACCTCAATCTGAGGTTTGTTGCTAAGAATTAATACAATTAAGATAAACATGGGTATTTTCTGCTGTGAATTACCTGCAGTGGTAGGAAAGCTCCCCCGCTGTCGACGAGGTACACGGAGCACAGCCTGTTCTGCAGGGCTATTTCTTGAGCTCTTAATTGTTTCTTCACCCCGATGGGATAAATAGTTCCTCCTTTCACCGTCGCATCGTTTGCCATGAAGACACACCAGACCCCACAGATTTTGCCAATTCCTATAAGTGATACCACAGACACTTATCAGGACTCTCTAAAATACCACAGACAAAACAAGGGGGGCAAATTATAGCTGGGATGTTCTTTCGGTAATACTATATCAATAAGCTGCAATGTAAGTTATAAATACCACACAGGGAAGAAATCTATCACTCTTCTCTGGAATAACAAGCTGAAAGCTAATGATATTTAAAAAAAATAATCTGAATGACAGAAGACAGAACTTGAAATAAACTTACTCCTGGTGACAATGCAAGAGGAAAAAAAATACATAGTTTGACTTCCAACTCTTGAGATAAGAGGGAACGCAATTAAGAATTACCTATATAAAAGTGAAAAATGTAACAATCAATGACAAAAGATAGGATTTTATACTTTAATCTTCCATTTACTTTTTCGACTGGAATTTCTCTTCAAAATGCAATAAGTGAGAGGCTTGACTATAATTTGAAAACCATTACAAAAGAAATGCCACAGCTCCTGTGACTCACAATAACTTGGTCCCCTTTCCTTTGACCCATTATTTGACACATCCGCCTAAATTTTTTGAGACAAATTAGTAACTGGGAAGTAGAATAAATTACTAAATCTAGATAGAAATTAAAGCATGTTTTTTCTTTAAAGGTTTCTCCCAGATGTCTCAACAAAAAGCACAGCGGAATAATACGGCGGTGGCTGAACTCTTTCATGCTGCTACTGAGCAGGCCTGGTGTTCACTTTTCGTAGGAAAGCACACTCTCAAGATACTAAAGTATTCCATAAAGGTGATTATATGTATCCTTTTTCCTCTCCCAGTAGGACCACACACCTCTCCTTCAGTGAGCAAGGCTGCTCAGCCTGTATCCATCTTTAGATCTAATGTGAATCATATTTAAAGATATCAGCAACGAAACAAACGAACTCCATCCCTCTCCCATTAGGTCCAGTACTACATTTGTTAGGAATTACCAGTAAGGCACCCAGCAGCAGGGACGTCACCGTAGGGCAGATCGAGGCCTGCCAGCGGAGACAGCTCAAGAAAAGACTCATCATCAAGCAGCAACTTGAGGCGCTCACGAACAAACAGCTTCTTGTTTCTCTGAGTGTGGCGCAAGATGGCATTTTCTCCCCCTCCTTTACTGGCCGTCTCTAGCAATTCTGAGTATCTGATTCAAGAAACAAAAGGTTCAGTTAATGAAAACCACCGGTGCTCTACAAGTTACCCTGTAGCAGATTGAACACAGCACTTCAATGTATTGCACAGGTTTCACATCAACGGTACGAGAATGAAGATAAATTCACATTTTCGGATTATTGTTTCTTACCGACTGTAATAAAAAGCAGAGGTATGTTATTTAAAGCAAGCAGTTTAGTTTCATTATTCAAAAACTGTCTAATAAAGGCCAAAAAAAAAAGAGTGGAATAATATAAATATTCTATCTGTAGGTTAGGTTCACAGCCAGCAGACATTACCCTCCCCTGGGTGTTGCCCACATACACCCAACACACTGTATTTCACAATATATGACACAGTTAATCTCTGCCAGCAACCCCCTGAGCGGGGCACTGACGAGGGGCCGAGCATCAGCAATGACAGTTGACTTTTGAGAGATACAATAACATTACCCTATAAATTTGCAGCTATTAATAAGGCTGTCATAATTGGCCGGTCCTAATTCAGGACAGACATTCACCTCCCTGTTCCAAACGCTTTAGGGAAAAATCCAGTCAAAGGATTCAGTTTCCCTCAACAAGTTTATCTGGCAAAAATCAGTGACTGATAAGTAGAATAAATTACTTAATCGGCAAGAAATGCACACTCCACAGCATGGAAAATATACTTTAGAAGCAGCAAATACTGCAGTGTCACTACAATCAGGAGAGGAAACGATTAGCAAATGTTATTGTCTGGGCAACATCATGTATAGATAAAGAATTAAAGTGTAAACAAATGTGGTAGCTTGAATAATTTTAGCCTTAAATAAACCAGGTTCTTCATTTAAAATAGAACATTTTTCACCAAGATGCATCATCTTTCACTAAAAATCCTGTTTGACACAACTATTCAGGCACCACTCTGTCCGTGGCTCCATTATCTTATCGTGGCTTCCTGCAGGCTGCAGGGATTGAAAAACCTCTGAGAAAGGAGCTAAGGATTTTTAATAATGTCCTAAATGCCACCACAGGAGGGCACAGTGTGTTTGCTGAAGCGTCGCTGCCAGCTCATGTATCATTCCTCTGAACAAAGGCATTGGTTGAATTTTTGCCATCTGATCTTTTAAGGACAAACACATAAAATACATCTTCCTGCTTTTATTGGTGAATCACAGTCAAGTGCAGTAACTGTCACCTACTCCTTCAGGAGGGATCTGTAAATGCACGAGTCACCATTTACGTCTTTGTGTTCAAAAACTGAGTAAGAAACAAGATTTATGAAGGTGTAGAAAAAATACTTCTTGGGTATATAGGCAAAACAACGGCACATGGCCGTTCAAATACAAATACATTTCAAATAGAGATCGCACCCAGATTTAGGCATTTCAGTCAACATTTAGGCATCTCTTTTGGGGGGCTGAAATTACCAAGGGCTGATCCCTGCAAAACCCACTCTGCAGAGAAGAGACGAGCAGCCAGGAAACTAGTCTAAGCTCCAAAATGGTTAGGCAAGAAAAATTGCTTTTTGAATCTTTGAACTTTCTAATTAGCATTCTCCCTATGTTAAAAAGTTCCTAAAAGCGCCCATAAGAAACTCCCACATCACCTCGCAAGCAGCAACATTTTTAAAACACCACAGAAAGAGTTTATTACCTTTTAATAACAGCCTCACTGTTCCTTAAATTCTCTTCAAACACATGGCGATACACAGACAGGATACGTCCGTCTAAAACAGGGTAAGTTTTTGCATACCGTTTATGTTTTGCTTTATTACTTACTAAACGGCAGGGGAGCATGTCGCGTGTCCGTTTCAAGCCCTGATTCTGCAGCGAGCGTGCTGGCTCTTTACCGTGACACAAATCCTGGTATTTTCTTTCGAACACGCGATTTAAGGTTTGTAACCTGGGGAGCAGCGGAGACGCGGCCCCGGGGGGCCGCTTGCCCAGGGAGCACAACGCCACCGTGTTCCACATGACCCTGAGGGCTGAAGGGAGAAGAAACACCATTTATTGCCACACATACACACATAAAAAAATATAAATTAAAACTCCAGACTCCCTCGGCTGAGGAGGTGAAGAAGGCACCGCACCTCAGGCCCGGGGGTGTGAGGGAGCACCCCGGCCTCCCTGGAGGAGAGACCGCTGAGGCGGCGGCTCCCCGAGGGGTAGGAGAAGGACCGGGAGCGGGCCCAGCTGGGCCTGCGGGGGTGAGAGGGGCCGGAGCGGGCCCACCGGGCCGAGTGGGGCGATAAAAGGACCGGGAGCGGGCCCAGCTGGGCCTGCGGGGGGCGAGAGGGGCCGGACCGGGCCCACCGGGCCGAGTGGGGCGGTAAAAGGACCGGGAGCGGGCCCAGCCGGGCCTACGGGGCCGGGAGTGGGCCCAGTGGGGCCCGCGGGCTGGAGGAGCCGCCCGTAGCGGGCCCAGCCGGGGCCCAAGCAGCCGAACGGGGCGGGAGCGGACCCAGCCGGGCCGAGCGGAGGGGCCGGGCCCGCCTCTCGGGGCGGCTCCGCAGCCCACACGGCGGCCCGCCCCCGGGTGTCCTCTCCTCTGCCCCGGGTGTCCTTTGCCCCGAGTGCCCGGGCCGGGCCCGCCGGCGGGGCCTTGAGCCGCCCCGGAGCCGGGCCCCATGTCCCACACCGCCGGAGCAGGGCCCGGCTGCCGGGTAGTCCTTCCCGAAGGAGCCCCTCTGAGCCGTGTTCCCCTCGGTGTCGGGTGTCCCTGGGTGCCTCGGGTCCCCCAGCCGGGTCTGTGGCCACCTCAGTCCCTGCTGGGTGCCCAGCCATGGCGGCGCGGGGCCTGGGGCCTCAGGATGGCCGGGGTAACGTCCCCTTGGAAGGGCAAACAAAAGTAACGTAAGGAGCAAAGCGAATCGCTGCTGTAGGAAATAAGTCCAATTACATACACGGTGTATGCATTTCATTTGTAAATTACATGTTGTTGGGCGATATAGAATGTTACAGACTCCACTGCAGCCTCAGGAATACAGCACGGGTGCCTTGCTGGCTGTTGAGGGCAGGGCGGGCACAAAATGTCTCATTTTCAACCTCTTCCTTTCTGCTTCATGTTGTCATCCGGAGACAAGGCTGCTGGGTGCTCACAGACAACATTTTGGGAGACGCCATTCCTCTCAAGAACAGTTGTGTGCTGTTGGAAGCTGTAACCGCTCGGTCAAAATGCCTAAACGCTTTCTAATTAAGTTTATCATTAAAATGAATTTGATTTTTTTTTTTTTTTTCCTCCTCCCATACCTCATCCTGTCCCTAGGCTGCTTCACTCAGTTTGCTATTGTTAGTCGTGGCATAACCTGCTAGAAATTACTGCTTGTTGCCTTTCAGCGACTTCATTAAAATGCATTCCTGCCAGAGAGCGCTTTATCCATACATATTAATAAGGCTTCGTAGTGATAATTAAGCAATGACTAATATGTTGGTGAATGTAAGTATCCAGCAGAGGCAGGAGAAAGAATTTGTAGGAAAATAAGTTGTATGGTATTAAAAACTCTTGACCATAATAATTAAGGTTGGCTGAGCTGTACTAATTTAAAATAATTTTCTTATTTATTTTTTTCCCTTGCACACTCAAAGCAGATGGGACTGGTTTTGATGCTGTGCTCCCTTGTATCAAGAAACTCGGCACAGGTGGAGCTGTGGGAAGAGGAGAGCAGCTTTGGATGTCCTGGGATGTCCCAAAATGTCACCTGCTGTCCCATCGCTCCCAACAGGGAGGTGAAGGTCTGTGCTGAGCCCGGGGAGGAGCAGGCAGGGCTGCTGCTCTCTCAGGACAAATGTGCTGCTCCAGGGCAGCACAGCCACTCCAGGGGTAGCAGAGGGTCCTGCTAAATGTGGGACGGGGTGTCTGCGCCTGTAAAGAATCCCTTTAAAAAAAAAAAGGATCACAGCTCTGATTTACACTCTCCTAAAAGGCTCATTAATTCTGGACCAGCCAGAATGAGGCAAGTGGTGGGCGTTTGTTACTGGTAATGGAACTTTTGAACCAAAGCCCCCATCTGGAAGCGTGCTGTAGGCACTGATGCAGCCGTGGAGAGGTTCCCAGTATAGCCCCAGTATGAAGTTCACAGCCTGCTCCACCATCCAGGCTGGTTTGGGGCATTTGTGGTTGATTATTTCAGTTCATGTCTCTCCCTCCTTCCGTGGTGTAACCAGGACTCTCTTCTCTCAGCAGTCTGAGAAACTTGTAAAGAGCTGAAGATGAGAGACAGGAGACACTTGGCAGCTTTATATAGATCTTTAGCATTTCCTGTGGGATTTTATGTGACTTTTTGTGCTCTCTGTGGTGCAGGTGATAATGGGGAAGGAGAGAGTGGTGACAGAAATTCGCGTAAAGCAGGAGAATACATTTGAGGAGGTCTGAACTTCAAAGAGGAGGTGGTGGTAGTGAATGTGCTGGGTGCTCAGCTTGCTGGAGAAGGGATTGCTGATGCCAATGCTTGAATATGTAGTTAAAGTGAGATTTGGGCTTCCCGTTGTTTCTGGTTGGGTGGGTTTTTTTTAAGTTGACCTATATATCATTTCCCTGGATTCATAAGATTTTTTAGTCCTCTATTCTGTGAATGTAGCAGAGGGACTACTGTTCAATTATAATTTTCATGCTTCTTATTTCATTTTTGATAATGAAGTGTTAGACTTTCATAAGATACATTATCTCTAATATGCTACTGTTGCAGAGCAGTTTCATTTCATGGGGTCTTAATTTGCAGAATGTTTTTTTAAATACCTTTTTGCAGTTAATGTGTTGGCTTGTATTATTTTACAGCTTTTCCCGTGGATAGAATCTGCCTTCACAATCAGAATATTCTACGCAGATGGCTTTTACTCAGGCTTAAAAGGGGATTAAGCATTCTCAGGAAAGCTGAAAGGAAAAAGCAATGCTCTTTATTTCATTTCAGCCTCCTCATGTAACAAAGTGAGTGTTTATCAGGAAGAGAAGGCATCAGTCACCAGGGTGTTGGTTTTTTTTTGTACTGGGAGGCAGCCTGGGATAAATAACAAATCCTGTAATTAGGAGCCAATAGATTCTAATTGACTTATGTTAGTCCTGGAGCTGAAATCTAGCCTTTCTCTCTCGTCATGGCACGGCGCATCCTTTGTTTAAGGAACACTGGAGGGAAATGGAGTGAGGTGAGGAAAAATAGCTCTTCTGAATGGACGCAGCCTTGTGCGAGGGTTTGAAGTCGGTATTTTAAGTGCTTATTTTAGTGACTTTTGAGCTGAGCATTTAGAATATATAGCATTTAGGAAGAATGTTCACGTGGGTGCTTAGTTTAAAGGCGAGCTGCGGCTCTGCCAGCCGAGCCGAGACGTGCCATTTGAGGGACGCGAAAAGCTTCGAGTCAAGTTTTTACTCAACTTTATTTAGCAACTTGCTGGAGTGCACCGGATGCTGGGGGAAACCAGAACACACTCTTTGGATTGTCAGACCAAAGGCAGGAAGGTTCCCACAGAGCCCTCCTCCTTATGTAGCTTCTGTTTCTTATTTAGATTTTGTTTTTTAATACCCAAGAGCTTTTGGTGGTGTTCTGACAATTGTGGCCTGGAAATTTGTCTAAATTAAAGCAGGTTTTGTTTGTTTACTCAAAAGCGCTAACAGGCTCTGACAGTCCCACAGCATTTTTCGGGGCTTACATCATTCTAAAATAGATTCAATTGATTCCAAACAAATTTGACAAAAAAAAAGAAAAAATCCTTTACCAGCTCGATGTATTTGCAGCTATACAAAAAGGAAGGGCTGAGCCACAGCAGGTACGCTGAGCACAGTGTCTGGAAATGATATGAAATGTTAAAAAGTTTATTTTCACTGCTGGGAGATAGGAGAGAACAGAAGGGGTTAAACAAACTGGTCTGAAAATGTGAGAATAAATGCAGGAGAGGTTGGGAGCCAGATCCTCAGCTCTATTGCAAGTAAATGAAAGTTTCACTGAGGGTATCTCAGATGAAGGGCTGCTCCCATGCTTTTCAGCTTCTTGTTTGGGATGATTTGAGGTTTTATGAATCCCCACTTAAAGAGAAATGTGGAGAACCAGGTTTGCCTTCACAGACAGGCTGAGAGAGTTGGGGGGTTCAACCTGGACAAGAGAAAACTGCGGGGAGACCTTCTAGCCCCTTCCAGTCCCTAAAGAAGGGGGGCTCCAGGAAAGCTGGGGAGGGACTCTGGATGAGGGAGGGGAGCCCTAGGAGGAGGGGGAAGGGTTGGACCCTGAAAGAGGGGAGATGGAGCTGAGCTGTGGGGAAGAACTTGTTTGGTGGGAGGGTGGGGAGAGCCTGGCCCAGGTTGGCCAGAGAAGCTGTGGCTGCCCCATCCCTGGAGGGGTTCAAGGGCAGGTTGGAGGGGGCTTGGAGCAACCTGGGCTGGTGGGAGGTGTCCCTGCCCAGGGCAGGGGGTGGCACTGGGGGGGCTTTGAGGTCCCTTCCCACCCAAACCATCCTGTGATACCATGGTTACAGCTATAGGAGACAGTAGCTGTGTTACAACACCTATAAAAAAGAAGGTAGCCTGGGACAGGCACATGGAAGGACCCATTTCTCCACTGACAGCAGAGGGAGCATTGGGAGATTGTTCTCCTTGAGTTGAAATTAGCTTTTGAAGGTACCCACCTCTCATTTCTCATTCAGAGGAATGTCATCTGCTGTTGACGGCACATCCTGTGGAAAAGTCAGAAGCTGAAGGAGGAAGGTAAGTGGTTTGTGCTCTGAATTTCAGCAGCTGAGAGTTTTTAGGACTTCATAATTTATCTTTCAAGCAAACAGACTATCGTGTAAGCCTACACCTGTGTTGGGAATACTGTAAAAAAGGAATTCCCCCCAGAGTGAAGTCCTGTGCAGCTCCATTCATACATGGAAGCTCTTCTGCCTCAGACTCTGCCCTTCTAAAAATACTGGGATGCCAAACTCCTGGGAGAGATTAAAGGAGATGAGGGAGAGATAGGAGAGTGACAGTCTGGTCCATGGCAGTTGGATTTCGTCTCTTGCCACAAAGGTCTTACAAAACCATGAATAGTTATGTAATAATTACAATAATTATAATAATAATTTCAATTACAAATAATTGCAAACACAGCTCATTTGGAGAAGACAAGGAGTGTCTTACGCTTGCTTACATTACTGAAAGATGTGACTTTCTGATTTGTCTTATTCCTGTAAAACGCAGAGAACTAAAGGGGCAGAATTAAATCCTAGTTAAGGCATAATCTAATTGTACAATTCCCCGTTGCAGGACCAGAGCCTGTCCTGAACTGTGCTGAGAGAAGCCGAAAAGAAGAGAATTCAATCTAAAAATCCAGGTAAGTGGTGGTGACAACCCAAAGCAGAAGAAAAATAAATTTGACTTTCGTGGGTTGAAATGGCAGAGCTGGCAAACCACGAGTTGATTTTACCCGTAGTGTGACCTGAGATCACCGAAAGGCTGCTGAAAAACTGTTCTACAGTTTAAATACGCAACAAGTCCATGACGATCTGTTGCTCCCTCCAGTTTAAAGGCTTAATCGAGAATTTTCTGAAGTCTTCTTGTCGTTGGGAGGAGATGGAGGTTCAATTGCAGACGGTTAGGTTGCCTGGTGGTGTTTTATTCTGGGAAAGCCCCGGTTGATTTATTCTCCTGTGCAAAGGTTTGGCACTGAGCGGTGACACCAAAGCTGTGCTCGGCTGTTTGGAGTCCCTGGGACTGGGGTTTGTCAGGCTGTCAGGCTGCTCCCAGCTAGTAATTGGTAACTGGATGTGGTTGGGGTAGTTAGATAAACATGCAGAGGAAGATGAAGATCTGATGCTCCCTCCAGTTCAAAAGCCTAATTGAGAACTTTCTGAAGTCTTCTTGTCGTTGGGAGGAGATGGAGGTTCAATTGCAGACGGTTAGGTTGCCTGGTGGTGTTTTATTCTGGGAAAGCCCCGGTTGATTTATTCCCCCGTGCAAAGGTTTGGCACTGAGCGGTGACACCAAAGCTGTGCTCGGCTGTTTGGAGTCCCTGGGACTGGGGTTTGTCAGGCTGTCAGGCTGCTCCCAGCTAGTAATTGGTAACTGGATGTGGTTGGGGTAGTTAGATAAACATGCAGAGGAAGGGGATGAATCACTAAGTAAATAGAATATCGATGCTGTAGGAACCGCTGGTACGTACAGCACATTTGTGGCCAACGTGACGCATTTGTCTTCTGTTGTCAGGAAAATGTTACTTGAAAGGAGAATTGAGCCTAAAGACGTAATTCCCCAGCTGCACATCCACACCTTCTCCATCCACGGGTTGGCTCCCGTTAGGCTCTTACCAACTCATCAGCTTTTAACCCCACTTCTTTTTACATGTCCCCTTAGGATTCGATCCCCAAATCTGAGGTCCTGTCAGAGAAGTTGCCATTGCTCGTTAAAAGCCCCGAAATTAAATGGTCTGCCTTAATGTAAAAAGCTGTTTATGCCAGTGAACCAGCATCGTAGTTATTAGTGGAGCATGTTGGCAGTTCCTGGCAGCAATTTTTGCAACCATGTAGCAGAGAAAGGGAGAAAAATACCATTTACTGTGATTTGCATGCCACAAAACATCGGCACAAATCCCCATAGAGAGGACAGGGCGATATAGTACCAAAATCATGAAGAAGTATTTTTCTGTCCTCCTCTCTTTTGCACTTTTCCAGGATCTTCTGGAAGAGCCTTACGTTCCGTGGGGGTGCTGCAGCTGGGCCACCCCGTTGGCCAGTAGCTCCAGAGCAGCCTGGTCCATCCTTCCATCCTGGAGCCTTTTTGGGAGAGAAAAGGAACCGAGGCAGAAAGGTTGATGCCAACATTTGTGTACATCCAAGTAGCGGGTTTATTCATTCCTGTTTACAGTATTGAGGATTTAACCATTAAAAAGGCCTAATTATTTTTGGAGCTTTTTTGGGAGAGAAAAGGAACCGAAGCAGAAAGGTTGATGCCACCATTTGTATACATCCAAGTAGTGGGTTTATTCATTCCTGTTTACAGTACTGAGGATTTAACCATTAAAAAGGCCTAATTAGAAGACAAATTAGATATTCAATTGCCCTGTTGCAAGTTAAAAAGAATGCGTATATATATACGCACATAGATAGATATATATGATATGTATATATATGTATACATGCTGAAATGAGTTCTCCAGTCCCTGAAAATCCCTGTTTATTTTTATATGTAATGAAGAGCCTTTGTTCAGAAGGAAGAAAGATCAAAATTTGTTTTGGAAGTGTGGTTAGTACCTTCCAGTGATGCATCTACCTGCACCTAATTCACAGTTTCCAGCCCCTGGCCCCACTCTGCCACTGACATCAGCTGTAAAAGCTGTAACGTAATCCCCAAAAATCTGGAAAAGTTTAAGTTTCTTTTCACAGCTTTAGAAGTAACTCCGTTCACTTTCTCAAAATGCTGAAATTTACCTCCTCAGCAAACCTGGCTTGTTTTGAAGTCATGGAAGGCATTTTTTGAAGACAAAAACCTTGTGTCTGAGCTTTGAACTCAGTGATGTTTGCCATGATTTCTAGAATCTCTCTACCTTGAGTTTTGGTGCAAAATTTCACCGGGGAACTGAATATTGAGCAACAATACATAGACAATAACACCAGCTATTGCCAGACAAGATATTGCAGCGATGCCATAAAGTCCTTCTCCAGTTCCTGCTTTCCTGATCCGCTTGGCACCAAATGGTAACTGGACTTCTCCTTATTATCATAAAAACCAGGGGGGTTTCTTCTTGCTGTTACTTGTTTTGTCAAAGATCCAGTGATTGGTAACATGTGAATTAACATTTTGCAGGACGAGCAGAGCAGAGCCTGCAAACAGCGATGAGAAGTGAGACTCTGAAAAGCCATGGTAGCATTTACATCTCTGGCAAGAATCAGGGCTGGAAAACCACAATCTTTAGGAAGCAGTGGATTTACACATCAAATACCTTACATTTCTCCTGCTGGTAAGTACCTGTGTGGATATTTACAGCTAAAATGGAAACGTGATGAAAAATTAATAGTCACTGCAGATACTTTTATGCGATGCTTTTGTAAATCTTTGCAGTGAATTCTTTGGTATCTTCATACTGGAAGGATTTTATACTTGACTTGAATGTGCTCCTTTGCAGTATTATATCATGGTACGTTCCTTTTTAGGATTTTGGCTGTCAGTATCACTTTTAGCTTAGTTTGGTGCTCTACAAATTACATCTATGCTCCCTGACATTGATTGTGAAACGCAGTGAACAACTTAACGATGCCAGAAAAAGAGCGACAAAGAAAAATCTTTGTCTTAAAACCACGCCTCAAGGTACATTTTAAATGACTGATGAATTCTCCAGTCCCTCTGCCACAGAGGCCAGTGAATTACTTGGATCATCTTCTCCCTGATACCCTTGACTTAATTGAGCTGTAGTGTGAGAAACATGTATTCATCAGCTGCAGGCGCCGGCGCGGCGGGGGAGCCCTTCAGCTGGGCTGGAAAGCGAGAGTCCCAGCGCCCGCTCAGCACTGGCCAGGGATAAAGCCTTCTTGAAACCTCTAACTCATCGCAGACATCTTTTGATTCCCAGTCTTTTTGAACCAGGCTCACCTCTGGTTCCTTTGCAGCTCTCGGCCTCGCTGTTGGCCTCCAAATTTCACCCGTTTTTTTTTCTGACAAGATGCTTTTTGTCAGCGTTCGTCCTTCCTGACCACGATTTAATCATTGGAGATGACAAAAACCACCTAGCAGTGGGTTTTCTCAGTCCTAACGGTGTCTTTTTGTGCTGGTATTGTTAGTAATACAGTAAAAAAGTAGCATAGGCTCTCGAATGGGAAGCAACCTGCTACTTTTAAGAAGCTATTCTGGGTAACTGAATGAATGGTGCTGAAAAAATTGAAAGAAATTTAAATTTTGTCTCCTTGCATGATACTTTAGTCCAATATTTATAGCAACATGGTCAAATCAGGACTGTCAGAGGAAGAGCCCTGGAAACGTGCTGGTTCCAGACCTGACCCTGCTTTGTGACAGTAGGATCATCCTTTCATCATGCCTGTGACCTGAGAATCCCTGTAAACGGGGAAATCTGAAGCGTTCGTAGGGAGAATATTACAGAGAGCCAAGAAACTGGGATATGCAGTGAGCAGGGTGAATTTTTCCACAAAAACCTCAAAGAAATTTCCAGTTGGAGTGTTTTTAGCTTTGAAAATGTAATCCAATTTTTTCATTTTCAGGTCTCCGACCATTATCCTCTGCTCTCAGTAGAACAGTGTATTTAACGGCTTCATTAATGCCAGAGTGAAAATTATCTACTGCTGGAGTGACTGTCGTGTGGGGAATTTTTACACCAGAACTGGAGCAGCATTCTGATCCTTCAGTACTTGGGAGCAACGTTTGTAAAGGTACAAAATTAGTGAAAAAAAAAAAAATATGATGATTTAAAAAGATTATCTGAATTTAAAGCAAAACCAATATATTAAGAAAGAGAAAATGGCTGCAGAACAGGTAGATTACCCAGAATCTACTCAGAACAACAGTTTCACCCTTTGCAGAAAAGACTAAGGCAAAAGTGCAGGCTGGTGGCTGGGCTGAGTAATTAATCCACAGAGAATGCCTTACCCAATTAATACATGTTGTCTGGACATAGATTCGAATTATAGCAGTATTTGAAATGATGTCTTTTCATTTCTTTCCTCGCTACAACGCGATTGTAATTGATCTGCTGGGAATTTTTTTCAGGGCAATATTCAGAACTCTGTGTTTCATATTTATAATGGGCCAGATAATCCAGATGCCAGTTTCTGGTTTCTTTGTGATCATTTAGTAGTGGTGTTTGTTACAGTTATATATATAAATGCAGTATCTAAATATTCTCAGAGTCCTCATACTAGATTTCAAAACAATAACAAAACTAAAATAAAAAATTTATTACATTTATGTATATAAATGTAGTATCTAAATAGTCTCAGAGTCCTCATACTAGATTTCAAAACAATAACAAAACTAAAATGAAAAAAAAAATAATTACAAAATCCTGCTCATTTCTAAAGGGCAGAGATTACTAGCTCTGTGTGAATCACCCAGGTGGGAAAAACAGCTCATCTGTCACGTTTCCTTCCTCTGGATCATGAACAATAACAAAACTAAAATAAAAAGAAAAAATAATTACAAAATCCTGCTCATTTCTAAAGGGCAGAGATTACTAGCTCTGTGTGAATCACCCAGGTGGGAAAAACAGCTCATCTGTCACGTTTCCTTCCTCTGGATCATGAAAATAGAAACCAGAGCTGGCTCAAGGGCGCCCTGCAAGAAATGCCTGGATGTTATTTCATAGCGAGGCCTGTGGGATTCTAGTTGGAATTCAAATGCCCATTTTCACACACACCTGGTTTATCAGCCAGATCCCTGCCGGGATTGGGGTTAGTTTCTGAAGGGTGACTCTGCTTCCAGAGCCTTCCCACCATTCCACTGATGTTAAGTCTCATTTTTACAATGACATTTTAATTTGGTATCTAATTATTGTCCGGCCTGGAAAGGAGGGAGCCAGGGCGGAGGGGTTGGGGCTGCTGCAGGGGGCTGGACCCTGCACAGGTGTCTTAGGCTGAGTTTGTGCTCCCAACCTTTGGCTTAACCATCAGTTATGTTTTTTCTTGTAATTTGGCCAATCTGGCTAGATCTCGGCTATAAATCACCCGTGGCAGCAGCGTGAAGTTTTCCTCTGTGCTCTCTCCCAGTTGCACATGGAGAAAAACCCAGTGGAGGGTGGGTAGAGCGGAGGCGAGGGGCTTCCATGCCCTTGGCCCATCACATGGCTTCGGCGCTGCCCGCTGCTTATTTGCTCTCTATATCACTTCCCCTCAGGGGGGCTGAAAGAAATCAGCAAATCTGTCCCCCAGCAGAACTCCTGATCCCTGGACCAATTCATTCCGGCGCAGCGGGACGGCCGGGGGATTAATGGGAGGGGGGGAATGCTGTGAATTCCTGAGCTCTCTTTCTTTCCCCGGCGCAGCTGGGGACGGGGACGCTGCCAGATGGAAGCAGGGCCGTGGGCAGCCAGCAGCCCTGCTCCAGCAGCAGCCTTCCAGCCCATGGACTGGCCTCAGCTGGGAGCTCCAGTGCCACTTCCCTCTGCCGGGAGGAATCCAAATCCCAGAATCACAGGATCAATCTTCTAGGTTGGAAAGGACCTTAAAGATCATCTTGTCCAACCGTCAACCTCACTTTGACAAAAACAGACACCTGCACAACAAACAAGAAGCATCACCATCACTAAACCAGACCTCCCAGCACTACATCAACCCGTCTTTTGAACATCTCCAGGGATGGTGCCTCAACCACCTCCCTGGGCAGCCCATTCCAATGGCTGATGACCCTTTCAGTGAAAAAATTTTTCCTAATATCCAGCCTGACCCTCCCCTGGGGCAACTTGAGGCCATTTCCTCTTGTCCTGTCACCTGTGACTTGGGAGAAGAGACCGACCCCCACCTCTCTACACCCTCCTTTCAGGGAGTTGGAGAGAGCGAGAAGGTCTCCCCTCAGCCTCCTTTTCTCCAGGCTGAACACCCCCAGCTCCCTCAGCCTCGCCTCACAAGACTTGTGCTCCAGACCCCTCGCCCCATTCCAAAAATTGTCATTCTTTTTCATCACTCTTTGCCATTCTGCAATTATTTTTTCTTTCTTTCTGTGATTGGAAGGGCCATTGGAGGTCCACCAGCACCTCTCTGTACAGAGTGGAGCGTTTACCACTTGGCCACGTGAAGGCACAAGGCTGGGGTGAGCAGTCAGGGACAGTAAAGGGGTTATACCTTAAGCCAGTGCTGCCGCTGAAAACTGTCTTGTGAAACACGAGCTGGGGGAGAGGGAGGTGGAAAAATGAATGTGGGGATGGAGATGAATGACAGGGGGAAAGAAATTCTTAAATCAGCATTGCCACCAGAAAAATCCTATTTTTATGCTTTTGTACTGTATCGTCAGTGTCCTCGGGCTCCTGAACTTTGGATGTGAAGAGCTGAACGGGCCTATTTGCTATTCAGAACCTTTTCGTGCTTTTTTGTGATTCTCTGAGTAGATTTATCTTGTTCATGCATATGTAAAAATCTGATATTTTAGTTATTGTTTCCCTTTCCAGCCTAAAGCTGGTATTCCTACTAGTGAAGACTTGCTGGAGACTAAGCAGGCATTGTTTAAACACTTCCCAGCGAGCTCCGCTGGGATACTTCAATCTGTCTTGCTAAAGAGAATAAAAGATTAATCATTCTTTTTTTTTTTTTAGAATACTTGATTCTGACAGTGAAAGGAATTTGTGTGGCTTAACTGCGATGCAGACACTCTCCTCCTGTTGTTTGAGTCATACCATCTTATTTTATCCAGGTTCTTAGAAATAACTCTCCGAAAGGTCAATCTTAAGTTTAGTAATTGGGATTTGGGGGCATTGGGAGGAACAATCTAGTTGCAAATAATTAACCCGGAGAAGGAAGTAAAGAAAAATAACTCCCTCCTTTCTCTGCTTTTCCCTCAGATGTCGGTGTGGAGTCGTACAGTGCATCCTCTCACCTGTTTATCCCTCCCCGGGATGTCTGAATTCCTCCCGCGCAGGAGAGCGGAACTGGGGGTAATAGTTTCCTGCAGATACAGACGGACAATAAATTCGTACGCCCCCAAGAGTCTGGAAGAAACAGAGGAGGAGCAGTGACTCATTCCTGAGTCATAGAAGCCTCCCCGGATTTATCCTGGGATGATGTACTGCATGCACCACTCCTTGATCTGCTCTGTCTCGAAAGGACGACCGAGCCCTCGACGGCCCCGAATATAATTGTGGAAAAATAAATGTTAGCTGGCAGCGAGCATTCCTTGGCAGCAGCAGAGGTTGTGATGTTTTATGAGATGTATCAGGTCGGTATTTTGATAAGAAACGGTGAAAGAAGTGATTGGTTTGGCTGCTCGGTTGGTTTGCAATCAGCAGGCGTGAGATCACCCCTCTGCAGCCTTTGGCACAGGTTGTGGGGGCTGTTTTGGGGTGTCTTAGGGATCTGTCAGCCACCCCTACATCATGGAAGTGAAGGGCAGCCACGCAGGGGTAGAGCCAATGCTTATTGTGCTTTTTCTTCTCAGTTTCTTCTAAAGGTTATTCCCACTGAGAGTATTTTCCCTGTTTCACATCATTTGATGCCTGAGGCTGCATGGATCTCCCACCCGCTCCCCGTGGGTGCACTCGGGGACCTGCCCTTCTTCTCAGCACCGATCCCTGACAGCAAGGGAGGATGGAGCTTCCAAACCTCTGGCACAAACAAAACATGTCCAGTAATCAAAGCCATCTGGCTTTATACGACTCCTTTTGAATTGGGTGGAAACCACCACTTGAGAATCCCAATTGTGCCAGAAGATTTCCCTTTCTCCCGTAAGGGATTTGTACCAGTCCTGGGGGGACACAAGAGGACAGGAGGAGAGTATTCTGTGATGGGGGTTCCAATTAATTACAGCAACCCCAGACCCTTGTGTGGCACAGCATATGGGAATCATAAAGCTACTTTAAAGTCATGGCCCCTGAAGCACAAGAATAGAGGGGCTGAAAATCTAGAGTTTAGACTGACAAAATCTGTTCCGAGGTGGGAGCAGCTCTAATTCCTCATAACCTTGTCCAGACTGCTCACGGCATGTCTCCCTCCTGGAGCTGTGGTAACATTTGTCTAACAAGGCACCAAAATCAAGATTTGAACCCCTGTTTATAAAGTATTTTGGTTGAAGGCATTTGAATCGCACCACTCCGAGTGGGCAGAATAGCTGGGCTAGCTGGACTCTAGACTGTTTGCTGTTAATTTTCAGGGATTTTTCTTTTTACGGATCACAAGTCTACAAAGACTCGGTGTGGGATTTGATGAGCAATCTAAAAGGAGGAGGTTGCATGGCCCTCTTTTTTCCACCTTTTCTTTCTGGTTCCGCTTCCACTACGTTATTCAAAGCACAGCGCTCATTAGACCTTTGGGTGAGCTGATTTAACTCCCCATCTGGCAAGAAACTCTTAGCTTTGCCAGATAAAAAGTGTGCTTTCTGCTTGGTTAGCAGCTGGAGGGGCCCTACGAGCATCAGAGCCAGCACATGATAAGCTTGAGGAATGCGCGGCTGCGAGGAGGAGGAGGAGGAGGAATGGGAAATTCCTCCCCCTCTGAGGATCAGCTCGCTCCGTCTCCTCTAACTTCACCCTGACCCTCCCACCCACCACGTTCCAAATTTGAACAGCCAACAGGTTAGGAAAAAAGGGAACAGGCTTTCAAACTGGTGTGGGATGAGGGGACCAGTGAGGTAAAAACAACCCCAGAAACTCAACGGGTGGTGCAAACGGGCCAGGAGAATTCTTACTTCTTCCCTGCCTCACAGACCTCTTCTGGCTTATT